TAAATACCGTAATGATCGATTGTATGAAAAATTCTAGAAGAAATTCTGATTGGCTAAATTCAATCAGGGATAATACCCTGTAATCATCGACATCATGAAAAGAAATTCTAATTGGCTAAATTCTGTGCAGATCTTTTCGTTGAATAAAAAATAATAATCTTTATTCTTTCAATTATTATAAACCGATTTATTTTTAGAAAATGTAACATAGATATAACAAAGAAGTATCCCTGACTGTAATGATTATATATATCAATTTGATAATTTAGAATTTTCCTGAAATATTTTCTATTGATTAATGGTTACATACCAACTCTTTTCGGATCAGATCGTTTAACCATCTAAAGCTACATCAAATAGTATAATAATAATTTTGGCGACCGCGCAAAATACCAAATGCAAAATTGAATATCTTGTTATGTGAATGACATTGTAAAATAAAAATAAAATAAATCTTATTATTTATCATTACCCATTAATATAATAAAGAAATATGTATGTTTCCTTGATATTTTATTCGAAAAATATGTTAGGAACCTACATTATTTTGAAAAAAATCTAGTTAAATATTTTTGTTACTATAGATTGCCATTAACACTTTCAGGTTTATTATAATTAATATGATTAATATGAAAATTTTACAATTTTACAACATCAATATGAACAAATTAAATCGTATTGTTTAATCTCTTATCACCTTCTCTATAAATAAATGTATATATAACCTTTCAATTGATGGATACCTTTAATTATAAGATAACAATTAGAATTAAATATTTCATTATTATAAATATTTTTCTATTCTTTATATATATAGTACCCACTTTTTATAATAAAAAAGTCATTGTGTTTAATTCTTCGTTTTGGAAAATTCATTATACACTTGCATTTCTTAATGCAATGCTATTAAACAAGTTTTATGAGTCTCTTTAAAACTTATTAACCATATGAAAGATTAAGGTATTTTACACTTACTCGACCACCTACCTATCTTCAGCTTTGAAGAAAAAAGTAACAATGTTTTTAAATAGTCGTAGCTTTCTTTATACAGAGAATTCCACACAAGATATTTGTTAAAAAATTTTAATGGTGTGCAGTTTTACTTTATCTTTAACAGCAAAGTTCAAGTTTATTTTTTATTTTTATTTTTAAAAAAAACAAAATCGAGAAAATATGTTTGGTATCTCATCTTAGAAATAAAGCTACACATTGTTTGTCCTAGAATATAATCTGGCATACATTCACCATATTCCAAGGTGACACTACAAATATGTTCAAGTATTGGATTACCTGTTTCTCTTCACCAATCAAGATATTTATTTACCTGGGATCAATCTTGGGCCTTTTAATTAATAATTATTATAATCATATTGGCTACTATTTAAACAACTTTACTTGTTGGTAATAATTGGTTTCTATTGATTATTTTAGAATAAAATAAAAAAAAACAAGACAAAAAAAAATCCACGAATGATTCAAATATCATCACAAAATTTATGTTGTGAATGCCATTCAAGCATTGTAAGTAATTTTAATGAATTGTTAATTTTAGAGATTAATTGGCTAATTAATATTCATTATATATTCTCTGTAGTATAAGGCGGGTAGATATATATGGTCGAAATTATATAATCCCAAGTACAAGTGAAGATTGGTGGTCAGCGAATATTATTAACCCCTTGATCGAATTCTGTTATTTTGATCAGGGGTTAAAACTGACATGGTTCAAGAGAAAGAAGCAAAGACCGGGAAAGGTATAATTTATTTGTTGATTGACATTAAGAAAGGTATTACAAATAATATAGTCACCTACTCACATTCCTCCTGTGCTGCCTCACAAAACTTTTGTTAGCTCAGATAAAGCCAACAAAAAAATCATGACACATTTTTAACAACAAATATACTTATTATCTTCTTGATCTTCTGATATGTAGGTTTCAATCGCCTAATGATTGAATGCTATTTGATTTCTAAACAAGCTACCAATCCAAAGAGAACATTCAAAGAACAAAAGGATTCTGTTATAAAAGAATCAATTCCAAAATTTGGTTTTTATTATTTGAAAATAAATCAATTCGCATTCATTATAAATTTAAAATAAAATAAAAAGCAATTAGATACACATATAACTCACGGTTAATACTAACCAGAATGCTGGCTGATTTTAAATAACCATCTGAATGATGTCCGATTAATTAAATAAAGTTCAACCAGATATTCATTATAGCATATCGATTGAAATAAAATAAAGAATCAATGTGAATGTTTTAATCAATTAATATCAATTAGTAAACCAAAAGGTATTCGATTAGACTTTGAAATTGCTGCCAAAATAACCTGATTACTTACCGAATGATGCCATAAATTGACACAATCAGCATGTTACAACAATCTATCTATTGTATATTGAGTAGCCAATTACGACCTCTGATTTGATATCATTCTACTAGTGGCATTCACTCTCCGATTCCTCTTCTGTCAATTCGATTTCTTTTAAACTGAACTAAGGCTTTCTCCATTTTATTCTTGTTCAAGTTTATTGTGACGATTAAAATGTTAGTATTTGATAATGAAATATAAATTACAATGATTTAATGGTAAAAGATAAAAAATATTTATTTTGTAGATGTGAATGATTGCATATTTATATAAATTACCAATTCCTGTTATAAAAAAACATATCTTTTTCCTTTATGTATAAAATATAACATAAACTTTGCCATTGATGAAAATACAATTTACACAAATCTTCCATCTATATGTATTTTATGCCTATGTTAGCTATGGTAATAGAGATATGTTAATAAAAGAAATGAAACTTAATCAAATGTAAATTCAATAATTGTTTTATTGAAAGTACTAATACTAATAAACTTACCAGAAGAATGGCAAATTTATTGCAGAGAGTTCTTTATATTAAAAAAAACTAATAATACTATTTCAATATAAAAAATGAATTAATATGATTATTATCTTTATTCGAGTTCCTTCAGAAATCCAATGCTTGCTTAAAAGTGATTTCAAACCCCTATTTAAAAAGCCAGTTTAACTCTGGCAGCGAGATAGTTATCATGACTATCAAAAGATATATATTTTTTACTTCATTATTAAAAATTAAAAAATTAAATTAATTTTAATTATCGGACTTGTATGATTTCCTATTCCTTGTATTATCAATTATTTTAATAAAAAATGTTGCTGCAATCTTTTTTGAAGAAAAAAGCCGAATTTGGAAGGTTATAATAGACAGAATATTCAATGCTGTTAAAAAATCTCGGTGGAATTCCAATCCAATGTTGGCGAATTAGTTTTTTATTAACAGATTCACATTGACGTTCAACATCCTTTATAATTTATAAAATAATTTTTTAAATGAGATAAATGGTTTAGTTTGAATTACCAAATAAATTCATTATATAAAAAACTAATAATCGATTAAAATGGTAGAACTTTCTTCCTCAGCTACGTTACAATTGATATTTTTTATTCAAATATTTATTTTGGTAAAGCAGCATCATGCATGATCTATTTAACAAAGACTAAATTTGTTGAACATAAATATGTGATATCAAATAACGAGGTTTGTTTGTTTTTTATTTGGACTCAAATATCCCAAAAGTAAAGTTAAGCACGGAAAGCAAAAAGAAAACATAAAAATTGGGAAAATAAGGCAAAGGCACTTTGACAAATGGTTTTGAATCAGATGAACTAGAATATTAATATTATCTGGTGGTAAATACCCCTCACGAGGTCCATTCTTCTTTTTCCTGGGGTCTTGACCCATTTCTCTGGATTAAACCTTATGAGGTTTATGCAAATGAGATTGATAGTGCTATAATTCCTGAATTCCATGGTAGATCTTTAACGATTAATTGATTGTTTTACCATAAATGGTATTCGTTTGGAGCGACTTGGACTTATGTAGATTAATTCGTATATTCTAATTTTAAATTTCCTTGTTTCTATTATTGAAAAGAGCGGAGTTACCCTATGTGGTAACTATCCATTGTGTTGTTGTAGATCAATTATAAAAAACAAAAACGCCAAAAAAAAACAATTGAATATTATTGGACAAAGAATTGTTTGTTTGAAAAATCATGTATTACAGATTTTTATACATATAAATAATCAATCCATTTCTTTTTTTTTTCTTGACTGTGCTCAAGACTGCCTATGGCATCTCACTTAGTGGGGTGTCCGTGGTAGTTCATCAGATGGGACCCTTGTATAGGCCTCTCGGTTGGCTTCAATCATATATAAGAGTGAGCTTGCAAGGTGGCATAAAGCTTCCACTTATTATTACAGTCTCCACCCCGATTCTGCAGAATGCTGTTCAGTAAGGCGGTACTGATAATGCATGTTTGTCCCCACAAGTAATTTAGACTGGCAACTGATTATTTGCTTGGCGACACTATGGAAGAAGGGCAGGAATTCACGGAAGAGCCATGTACCAACTGAGGCACGGAATTGGGCGTGCCACGTCACATTCATTATGGTTTGGGCACGACATTAAGCACGCGTTGGTTGGAGCGTGTCACAATATTTTTACTAGATCTAGCAAATATTTGTTCGGTTCTCTTTTAAATATTCAATTATTGGCAATGTTTTTGGGTCACTCAACAAAAATTTGACTGGCTTGTCTAAGAATGTTTTATCCTTCGATTGGGAAACATCAATGGTGGGCGAAGCTAACATTTAAATCGGAAATTGTATTTGGCTTAACCATACAATGAGTAAGTATTTCACATCATGATATAATATTTTAGATTGTTATCTACCCGCGGTATTTTAAATGATGGCAATTGGAAAATGTCCACAAATTAAGCGAAGCAATTGAATGAAGCATTAATTTAATCAAAGGTTTTTTTACGTGACTCTTGGGGTTTTCACTCTTTAGTATTTTTGATCAAGGAGAAATATGGTAAACGTTTAGCTTGTGATCTATGTATTTATAATATTCCAGAATTATTGACTCAAGAATGGACTATTGACGGATTAATAGAAAAGTACACAACCAGAAGCAACATTTAATAAAAATTGATTTTATTTTAAAGGTAAAAAAAATTCTAATAAAAAAGATCTTGTGGAAAGTTGGACTTTCAGTAACGTTGTTCACTTTCAAAATTGTCTTTAATTTCTAAAAACTTTGAAAGTCAAAAAAGAATAGCAGTCTGAACAAACAAATTTATTTATATTGTCAATTATTTGTTTAATGGTAAATATGACCAGAGTTTCCTCTTTATCATATACGCCTAAAAATCCCTTAGACATCTATTTAATTAAGCTATATTAAATTGTTTAATAATAAATTTATTATTCTTGAAAAAATAATTTTTTATAAAAATGTAATAATACCGTTATCTCTATCGTTTACCACATTTTAAACCCAAACCACCTTCGTCTTCAACTTTGACAACACGAATACTAACAATTTCAGGTGAAGGATTAAGCCTAAAGTCCAGGTTTGGATACATGGCAACATCGCCGTACGAATCAATCTTAATTAAAAAATGACTTTTCAAAGTATCTTTTTAATATTTTTAACATTGTTCAAATGCTTGTTTTTAGTATTAGTAGTAAATTCTGCCCAACCGACCAAGATTTGTACATTCCACTATTATTGTTAACGATAATTTATATATTATGGGTGGTTTCTCTAATGGTCGGCTATCAAAAGAATTTTTTCTCTTGATTTGTCACAAGCATTTGATGCAACAACTTCGCCATGGAAGGATTTAACTGCAACCTCGCGCCATTGTCGGTATTAATATCATGGGCTACAGCTAGTTCTAACACTAATAATGATATAATATTTTTATTTGATGGTATCATGTTTGATACTGTAACTGGTGAATTGAGTTTGAAAATGTGGTTTATATCCATGATTTTAAAAGCAACCAATGGTTAGTAAACCAGGTGTAAATACCTATATAGACTATTGATTGACCATGAAACAAATATACAAAATGAAAAAAACCAATTTTTTTAAATGATGATAAGAAAAAAATTATCATTATTATTTACCATATACAGCTGTATGTCCAATACAGGGATCAATATTTGGACCACAAACTATAACCTGTGTTAATTAATAATTACCATTACACCCCAGGTGTCAGCTATAGTATCGTATATATATAATGTAAGCTTTTTTTAAATAAATGATAAATTGATATTGAATTAATAACTAAACATTTATTATTAATCATTATAGTTATTATTTATTACCTTATTCATGAGAGCTCCACGTATATCTCAGTAGATTCTCTTCCACCAATAAAAACGACCAATCCATAGCAATCAATACAGCAGCATGGTCAATTCTAGAAGGTGGCATATTTATACCAGTTGTTCCAATTGGGCTCCAGGATAAATCATCTCCATGTAGAATAAAAAAATCTTTAAAATATTTTACAGTAGGAATACTCACATCATGCACTCCACCATGAATATACAATTTGCCAGCAAATGGATCACTAACGCTTGAAAATTCTCTACGTGTTTCAGGTGCAATTCCTTGAAGAGCCAGGTGACATTAGGATCAACATCTAATCATGAATTAGTTGTGTTAGACACAACAGCAAACAATTTTAAATGGAATATACCTCAGTAACAATACCAGAATTTGCTATCAACTCGCTTACACGCCATAAAGCAAACTTAATTGGAGATTATATGATTGTAAAATTTAGTAATTAAATAAATTAATTAATAAAAGTGATGATAATTATGACAATATATTAAATTATTTATGTATCTAACAAATAAAGCTGGGCCACCTGTTGAAACGAGTAATTCAATTAAAATATGATAAATAGTAAAAGCATACCTATCTGGTGGTTTTGGAAGGAGCTCAAGCCTAAGGAATCATGAAGACAAAATCAAATTAGAAAATGAGGTCAAGTATTTGTTGGTGAATTACTTAATATAGCTAATTACAAATGGGTAAAATCATTTCCTGGTCTATTTCCTAGCAATATAACATCAACAGCAATTTCACCTTCACCGAGTCCTGCACCGCCATCACCTTAACGGTTTCAGCAATTGTGATTTCAGTTTGTCTTACTTTGATTATTTCTGTATCAATCGGTATTTTCCTTTTATATCGTATAAAATTGTATGAATATTGGTGATTGCTAAATAGAAATAGACAAAAAAGGACGTATAAGGATCTTTATCATCTTTAATAATGCTTCATCATCAGCTTGTAGCACGAAAATGATGTCTTTTCCTCCTCCACCTCCTCCACCTTCTTCTCAAAGGTCAAAGTATTTTTCACAACAACACCATCATTAATATCATCATCTAATAGTCAAAGTCCTTCAAACCATAATTCTGTTT